GCTCCAAACCAAGCAAGACATGTATTTTTCTTTTTGCAAACAAAGCAACAAAGGTATGATTAACTCAGAAAATTGGTACAATCCACACAAAAATGAACTCAAAACAAAGGTGTTTTTCCATTTTCTGCAAACCAAGCAAGACAGGTATTTTTATTTTTGCAAACAAATCAGCAAGGTATGATTAACTCAAGATATTGGTACAATTCACAAAAAAAATGAACTGGAAACAAAGGTGTTTTTTTTCGCTCCAAACCAAGCAAGACAGGTATTTTTCTTTTTGCAAACAAAGCAACAAAGGTATGATTAACTCGGAAAATTGGTACAATCCACAAAAAAATGAACTCGAAACAAAGGTGTTTTTCCATTTTCTGCAAACCAAGCAAGACAGGTATTTTTATTTTTGCAAACAAATCAGCAAGGTATGATTAACTCAAGATATTGGTACAATTCACAAAAAAATGAACTGGAAACAAAGGTGTTTTTTTTCCGCTCCAAACCAAGCAAGACAGGTATTTTTCTTTTTGCAAACAAAGCAACAAAGGTAAGATTAACTCAAAACAATTGGTAATTGAAAAACAAACTGACCTTGGCCGGAGCAGTCAACGGTGAGAAGGAACCGTCGACGGCGAGCCGGATCCGTTGACGGCAAGCCGGAGCAGTGGAAGCCGAGCGAGTAGTCGACGGCGAGCGGCCAGTCCACGGACAGACGGAGAAGTCAAAGCAACACCGAAGAAGTCGAAGGAATTGAAACGGAGTCGAAGCAGCGCCCAAGTAGAAGCAGACGACGGCAAGCGGACGGAGGCAGAAACGGAGCAGCCGGCGGTGGTAGCAAAGGCACGGATAGCCGGTGGAGCTTTGGTCCTTTGGTCGGTGCAGTTGCTCAATCCACAAGCGTGAACCGTATGTTGTGCACGTATACTATACCTAGATTACACCGTTCAGAATTGGAGGCGCTTCCTATTACCAAAGCGCCACACGCCGATGTGAAACAAAATTTAAATGTTCACAGCCGAATCTATAGTTTAAATATGCCATACGAAAAAATTACACCGCAGACGCTTCTCCACGTAAGCGCCGCATGCAGGCTTTCTTTTCAAAAACAAAAAATGGAAAGCTAATTAGAGGCGCTTCTAAGTGTTAAGCGCCGCACGGTCATTTTTTTTATAAAATAAAAATTATTTCGGAAACACAATGGATGCGTTTAATGTCCCAAAAGCGCCGCACGCATCCGTAAAAAATAAAAAAATAAATATAATCACCTAACAGAGGCGCTTGTGCTGAAAAGCGCCTCAAATGAAGCGCCTTTGTTTAACGTTTTTCCACTAGTGCCAGTCACCATTATCATATTTATTAAAGATTTTTTTGAAGTTTATTATAATAAAATTAATGAACAAAAGTGGACTAATTATGGTAGTTGGTAGGTATATTTTTATAGTTGTAAAGTTTGAACCTAATTATATTACTAAAATTTAATGAGTCGTATTTTCATTGAAATTTTGAATAATATGATGTTCTTGAATAACTTTGTTTAATATTGAACTTATATATTGAACTTATGATGTGCATCTTATCATTTCAGAGTTAAAAGAGTTTTACATTCACTTATTAGACACCCATTAACTATTTTCCGGGCACACTTCAGAAACTGCATACAATATACTTCATGAATATATGACCATCTCCGGCCTTCTTTGATGTATGATGACGAATAGTAAACACAAATTCAGCTGCATAGTCTTTGTAAAGATTCAAGTCAACATCTAGATTAAGAAATATCATCCCAACAACCGGTTTCTTTTCAGGTGAACATTCAGGGATCTAGTACTTTGAGCCCCTGGAGAAATTTGTAAAGCACAATTCAAATCTATATAAACAACAAACAATAAATAATATAAAGTATGAAATAAAACAATATTAAACAACACTGAAATCTTATTTCACTAAATGCACCATAAAACCAAAACAAATGCATAATACATTCTTTATACCTTGCAGGAGACAAAGATGAATTACAAAGATAAATTTCAACAAATATTAAAATAATTATGTTCTCCCTTCACGTTAATGATGATGCAGTTCAATTTCATTCCTTATTTATATACAATTGAGTAAACACAATAAAAACAAACCTAAGAAGTGAAGGGAGGTAACCTTATCAACGTTTAATTATGAAATTTGTTTGCAAGAAGACATAGGATAACATCAACCTGTTATGCAAATCAATTAAATTTAAAATGCACGATCAGGAAACACAAACAACAACAAGGAATAGTACATCTGAAGTTCTTTGAATGAAACAAAGTTTATCAAAGATATATGAATACCTGATTCCATGGCGTTCGATGATAATGATGAAAGATGATTAACTGAAACAATTCATAATCTAGATGAGGAAGACAAGCGCACAGATGAACACCATGATCGATGGAATGGTGGAAAGAAAGAAGAATGGAAAGTAGGTGGCTATGGGAATGGAAAGTAACGAGCCTGATTTTTGTTCCATTATAAAGTTGAGTAATTGACCAAAACACCTTCAATTTTTATTAGTTGGTTGTGAAAAACTTAAATGAAACGCACGTTAATCTAATCTAAATGAGCGGTCATGATTAGTTTGTAGGTTAGTAAATTAAGCCTAGTTTGTATTTGATCTCTAATCTATATATATATATATATATATATATATATATATATATATATATATATATATATATACACACACACACACATACATATATATAAATATATATAGGGAAGAGATCAAATAAAAAGAGGTCCTTACCGCGTATCACTTTTGCGTGTTTCTGTTGCACTTTTTCGCAATGACAAAAACTTCGTTTTAATTACGAAAGTGCCACCGCGTTTTTGATCAAATTTAGTTCACTTTTGGCTCATTTTGAGCCATTAGATCTAGAAATGAATGCAAGAGATTAATTCTCACTTTGCATGGGAAGACCTCTTTGTATTTGAACCCTCCCCTATATATCTATATATATATATATATATATATATATATATATATATATATATATATATATATATATATATATATATATAACTGACCATGTTATATATATATATATATAACATGGCATTATCCTATGATAATACCTTTAATGACCTGACCATGTTTAATTCTATACTAAAATGATTGTGTAGTTTTAGTAATATTTTTATGCACAAGTTTTATCTCAATGATATCTAAGGAAAAATCTCAACATTTTTTTATATTGAATCTAAGAATTATTGAATCGTTAACAAAAAATAGAAACAAATTCATTATCAAAGAATTATTACCCAACAGTTAGGGTGTAGCCGCTAGAGGTTATTTTCCGTTTTCGATTACAATCGAAGAACAACGCACATAAGGTCTTCGCAATCTTCTGCGATCGTGCTTTGTTGCGGGTCGGTGATTCCGTCGAAGGGATAGGGGCACATGATGGACGTGAGTCCTCAGCAGAAACAAGTAACAACGTGTCAAAGAAGGGAGGGATAGGCGACACTCAAGAGGTTCCAGGGGAGACGAAACACAGGAAGATTTGGGAAGACCAATCAAAAGATCGAGGTAGCTATTGGGGAGGGCATGGCACTAGACGAATCAAAAAATGAGGAGGAGGCGGGTCAGGGTTTTTAGACCTGTCGGTGGTGCACGTAGTGATTCTACTCAAGAGGACTAGCTATGGTGTTTATTTATTAGCATTTTTGCATTTTTATTTCCACGTTAAGACGGTTGTTGTTGGTTTTTATTTTATTTTATGCTGTAAGACTTTTGCATTAGGAGTGAGTGATGAGAGGTGTGCAGTAATCGTCGTTGGCTTTATTATGTCCAAGTTAGGATCAACGAGTTATATTACTTTGTAACAGGTGATTAACTTTGAGTCTGGTCCAAGAGCGAGTTATTAGTGGTCCTTTTGTTATTTTAAGGGAAATTTTCACAAATAGACCAAAAGTGAAAATAATATCACTTTTTTTACTTTTCGATTTTATTTTCAAAAATAGACTAATTAAATTTTTGTTTTCAAAAATGGACAATATGCATAGAATACCAAGAACCTAAGAAGTGAACGTCCGCTCCCCCTCCAAGAACCAACCTATCTGGGACCCTAAGAACTAACCAAGCTCCATTCTCTCTTTGTCTAAACCTATTCAAACACAAAATATTAATCTAATTGTTGTTTTTAAAGAGAAAAAGAATGTACAAATGATGAAGATAATCAAAATATTAAAAAGTATAATAAATAAAATAATAATAAATAAATAAATAAATAAATAAAAGTATGAAAAGTCAAATAATGCAAAGTAAAAAATCGAAGATGAAAAATTGTAAATTAAAATTGAAGAAGGAATTTAATTTAAAAAAACAGACAATTAAAAACAAACGCATAGAAAATAAACAAATAAATAAATGGAAATGAAAAATGAAAAATATTTCAAATAGATTAAAACACAGAAAAATTGTACAAATAATGTTTTTTGTGGGTCGAGGTCCCCAGGCTATATACTCCATCAATTGTAATAAACAATTAATCAGACTAAATTAAAAAAAAAGATGTAAAATAAAATATTTTTCTTTTAAGTAATTAAAAAACAGAAAATTTAATTGAACTAAAAAGCATGAAAAATATAAAATTTGAAAATAAAAAATAAAAATAAAAATTAACAATAGTTTGAAGAATGTGAATCTTGTTTTTTTATTTACATAATTTAACAATACTTTTTTTTGGAAGAATTTAAAATAGTTATTATTTTGTAGTTTGTTTTTGTTTCCTATTGTTTCTTTTTGTTGATAACTCTACATTTTTTGTTTTTATTGTTTTTTTGTGTTTCTTGTAGTTGGTTTATATTTGTAAATCCAAATTTAATATGATTTTTTACTTCAATGAAGTACGGAGTAATAAAGATAAATAAAAACCTAAATAAACAACACAAAACAAGATCAACGGTAGAACAAAAATATGTAACATGATGCAAAAAAAAGCAAAACGATGCAACAAGAAACAACATGATGCAACAAAATACAACATGATGAAACAAAATGCAACACACTACAATTAACATAATGAATATAATTCAACACACAAGTGTTCAATAAATACATATACTTCAACTTATTTGTCTAGCATTTATGATCAAAATTACCATTATTATTATAACCAAGCATTCCAGGCCAGCTGGTTGTGTCGTTACCGTGCCTAGTGGGAGGTCTCGAGTTCGAAACCCGCTAGGCACATAAGGGTTTGAAATTCAATGGAGTGAGTTTCAACCCTGATTACTCCAAACCCCCTGCCCCTGCCCCCACTGGAGTAAAAAAAAATTACAATTATTATTTATACTAAAGTACAAGAAACTCTTGAAGTCCACCAATAATGTTATTCCTCCATCCCAATGCAATTGACTTAAGTCTGCTGCTGCAACACCTGATTAGGGTGAAGTTATTATAATCACTTCAGATTGAGGACACTATCATACTCATTGCTACAATCAAAAGATAAAGAAGGTGACAATGATCTTGATGTTAATTAAGTATATGAGAAGAAAGATAGTGAAAACAAAACAAAGATTAGTACCAATTCAAAAAAATTCAGTGATCAGCCTACTGTATATAGTTATAAGCAACTTATACAAAGATTGGAGAGAGTATGAAAATCAATTATTAAAAAATAATCAACAAAAAGAAGCATAATACTAAATACAAAAGGCATAAAAAAAGAAACAAATACAATATCTAAGATTAATCAATTTACTCAGGAAAGGATATATTAATGCTTAAGTAGCCCATACGATAATATTCATGCACTACCATATCTTCACGGTTTCTTGAAAATCAATTTAACAGAAAATGATTGTTTTTATAATTACTTTCCACACCTGCTTCTACACCTTATGTTTAGAATCAGGTGGTTTACTAGAAGTCTTACCAAACCCATCTGCTTAAGTGACAAATCGACTCACCGGAGCTGAGAAGTGAGGAGGATGAATCTAATGGACACATTCATATTTGTACGGATATAGAAAAATAAAACTTCCTAGAGAAGCATATTTACTGAAACCACAATCTAGTTGAACAATAGATGCAAATAAAAGCTAATTTAAGGAATCTCTGAAAGCTGCGCGTGAAAAACACAACATAAGGTTTAGAGGAAACGCCAGACCTCTTATACTAGGAAGTGTATGCATATAATAAAGACATAGACAACATTTAGAGATAATAAACTCTTAAATTAAGATGTACTACCTCTCCCAAAATTAACTTCCCATTTCGGATTACAATGCTTGACCGACGATAAAGCAACTCGACCCCTGTTCATACTCAGATTACTTTTAGTAAATAAAATTTACATATTGAGAAACTACATTAAAATCGCTACAAAGGTTGATAAAAAATATATAAATTTGATAAAAATTTGATATATAAAACATAAGATTAAGAGTAATTTAAGTTGACCATGTGAATAGTGACTTTGAAGTTCATTTTGGGACGGAGGGAGGAAGAGTAGATGATTTTTCCTCACTATAACAAACATATGATGAGTGATCTGCAATTTGAGAAGGGAAAAGTTGTGGAACCTGGGTAAGAGCAGTCTATAAGAAATGTACACTCCCCCCATCGCAAAAATGGAGGAGCCAAGCATCTGCATATTAATTTAACATATTAATCTTATTCGATCAGTTAAAAATCTACGTAATCCATAAAGACACACTTGAATTTAGCATTTGCTAATAACAAACCACTGCTTCCACATCCTCATTGCAGAATTTAACATTTGAAAAACCAATTAGATATTTGACTAGTTATACTTCTCAGTACTTGGAGTGGAAAACAGTACATTGTATCAATTGAGAATATACTACCAAAAAGAAATTCTCTAAAGCAGAGAGCAACATTCTTAAAGTCATAAACTCCTTAAGTGTGAATATATACAAGGTGTCTGTTTAATCTTTTGTGTTTCCTCGCTCAATAATTTTTCTTTTCTTCTTATTATTATTTGGGTAACCTTGTGATGAGTCTCAAACTTATTCATTTTTATTTTAGTATGCTGCAAAAAGAAGTTTAATAAGAATGAATAAACTTCAATTCATAGCTAAATATGCAAGCTGAAAATGTAAATGATTAAAACATATTGAAAAAGTGAGGTTTGTGATGCCAGACCTGAACATCATCGTGGTCTAATGAGTGAACATCACGATCCCAGTTGACCTAGTTGTATTACTAAAAGTGAAATTGATAGCTGATGGGAAATCATAATTACTAAAAGCATAGGAAACATATGATCGAAAGGGAAGAGATGATTTGATTTCAGAAAATTGTTCGTCAATGACCTTACCGTTGTAATTACCGAATTGCTAGGCACATGATCGATAGCTCCGTCTTCTCTTCCATGACGGGGGAACTGGGGAAGCATCATCATACTCTAAGCTTCTCTTGCAAGTATTCAACAAAATTCTATTCGTAGGCAAGACTGCAAAAGAGAGGCTGTAGATTTCATATTTGAGCCGCACCCCCTTCTCAAGTGTTTCTACAGCAGAGAGGGGGAGATGGAGTATCGGGGCTAAATGGAAGAAGTTAATGCTCGTTGCCGGTGGTCAAGGAGGGTATAGGTTCTAGTTTAGCTAATGGGCTGTTTTTGAAATAAATTAAAAAATGGTAGATTCTACGGTACTCTTAAAATATCATACTTTTGTCCACATAGACTAATAAGAATGATGTAGTTGAATTATTTAAATCTAAATTAAAAATGATGTAATGATTTGAACAAATCAAGTGAGTGATAAGTACGGTACCCCATTTTTTAAATGGATAACGGAGTTGTCACCTTAAAAAATTGGAAATCCCCACTATGATTTTCCCGTTTTACCTTATGGTTGTCTCGTTTTTGAAAATTAAAAGTCTATATATGGAAAAAAAATTGTCGTGTGTTACCCCGCTATGATTGTCCCGTTTTACCTTATCGGTACGTCCCACTAAGATTGTCTCATACCAAATTTGGCAAAATTTATGTGACTCTAAATCATTCTTACTTTATTCTTACTTTACAAATTCAATATCAACCACGAAAAAAGAATTACCCAACCGTTGGAAACGACCTGAACCAATTTGGTTGCCGATTCACAATTCTTAAATCTCATCTCCACGAGTGAGTGATAGAGCCCACGGCATCACCAAGAGGGTCTAGGTGACTAACAATACCCTATACCCACTAATAGTTACTCTTTTTGGATCTCCAAAAATAGTTACAATTTTATTCATTAATATTACTACGTATTTTAGTAATATTAAGTTATCAAAAAAGCCTTTTGTACACACTCTTATAACACTTTTGTACACGCCTATGTTTGTGAAAGGATTTCTTTGTTCGTGAACATCGACTCACAGACAATGTTTTGCACAAACAAAATATTGTCTGTGAACCGGATTCACAGACAAGAAAAGTTTCACAAACATGGTGTGTATAAGATGTGTACAAGAGTGTGTACATCAAGCAGTTTTGTTAAGTTATTAACCGAAAATTGCTACAGAGTACAATGTAACCCAGAAGATTACAAATGAAAATTTATAACAGAGTCAGAGTCATTTCATAACAATTACACACAGTCTCATCCATTTCAAAATACTAGTGTAATACTCTCTACATCCCGAAATAATTGTCCTGTTTGATTTAACACAATTTTTAAGAAAGTCGTGGTCGAGATTTGGATAGAGAAAATGTAAATTGATATGAGCCACATATTATTGTCAAAATAAAAAACAAGACACTTATTTTGAGACATGCAAAGAAGGAAACAAAACAATTAATTCGGGACGGTGGGTATGATTTGATCAAGTGAAAAGTAAATAAAACAATCACATCTACTACCCCGTCTCTCAAATAGATGCACGGTTGGAATTTCAAAAACTATACACCCGGGTGTACATGTACACCTGATTTTTAAATGACGTGGTATGCTGATTCTCTCACCCATGCTTTTCCTGATTTTTCTTCTGCCGTCATCCTCATTCCCTCACTCCCCGTTGCTTTTATTTCAGCCGCCATTCTTTTTCATTTTTTAGCCTCCATCCCGTCATCCTAGTTCGTTTTATATTTGTTTTGTCTTTTTTATTTATTTTTTTGTTACTTTTTTTCTCTTCTTTCTTTTTTCTTTTCGTTTCTTTTATTTTACTTTTTTGTTACTTTTACTTTAGTTAATTTACTTTAGTTAGTTTACTTTTTTTGTCTTTTTTCTTTTTTACTTTATTTTAAATTCATATAATTATAGCGTCTAAAAAGAATAAATATATACAAATGAGCATTTCCATTTTTGAAAACTCGCTTTTGTAAGTTATGTATGTCCATTTAGTACCTTTGTTATGCTCATTTTAAAATGTTTATCCATGCATATTTCAAAAGTCTCATATTACATTAGATTCACATAGAATTTGATTATAGACACGAGACCACAAACCATGATACTCAATTTCATGATTCTAGTACCCAATAACGGAGGTTGGATGCTCACTAAAAATATCTTGATGTTCAACAAACAAAACATACCATTTTCATATCAATGATCATCTTGTAAGTTACGAATGCTCATTTATATAGGTCTGATGCTCATTAAAAATTCATTAATGTTTATTGATCTCAATAGAGGAGGTTTGATGCTCAACAGAATAGGTTTGGTGCTCATTAAAAGTTCATTATTACTCATTCTCCAGAAGTCGTGAATTTCATCTCAATAGTGAAAGTTTGATGCTCAATTAAAATTTCATGATGTTCATCTAACAAACCTAACAATTTTCATATTAATGTGCACTTTGTAAGTTATGTATGCTCATTTGGTACTCATGTTATGCTCATTTTTACAAAGTCATATCAATGCATATTTTAAAAGTATCATATTAAAATTAATAAGAGTGGATTAAAGATATAATTTAATAAGTTTTTATAAAAGAAAAATAACAAAAAGAAAAAGAATTAGAAGATATGAAGCAAAGATCGTGATACTCATTATTAGCCTCCTAATACTCAATAAAATAGGTCAGATGCTCACTAAAAGTACATTATTGCTTATTTAGCGTTAGCCGTGATTTTCGCTTAATTTACAAAAATGCCACCGAAAAAAATTAGACTGTATCAATTAAATGGGTTGTCGTTCTTAATTAATTGGGCCTTCATCAAATTCATTAAACTTTATTAAAATTGGGTTGAAGCTTCGATTAAATTACAAATAGACCCGGATGTACGGTTCTCACACGTACACCCGGGTGTAGGATATACGAACTGCCGACATTTGACCAATTATATGTAAAATATACATTTATGAATTTATAGTAAAATAACATTTTCTATTCAAATATATTTTTAAAATAATAAAAATGACTAAATACACAACATCATATTAGAGATAAATGATTTTATCTTCATGTTTTTTTATGATTTTATTTTTTGTTTTATCTATGTTGTTTATATTATTTTAGGAGAATGTGTTACGGAGTATTTTTTATACGTGGCATGTTGAACTGTTTAAATATACTAACAATAATTATTGTTCAGTATTGAATATGACCACAATATAGATTATTATTTGTACTTTGTAACACTTTAATAATGGATTAAGTATGTCACTGGTAATACCGATTTTATATATTTCGTTATTCTATCATTATTTGTTGTATTGAGAGACATGCACGGTAATTTACCGATACCGTATCGTTACCGAACCGAAACTTTCGTATACCGAAATACAGTATACCGAAAATTTGGTAAGGTAGCGGCATATAAATTTTGTATACCGAAAGTTTCGGTATGACAAAGGTATGTGAGAAAATATTCGGTATACCATACCGAACCACACCTAGGGAGAATACAAGAGTATCTCAATGTGACAATGTGCACATTGCATACGTGACATGAGAGATATAGATACAGAAAATTAAATTAATGAAATTTCCCTCTATTTGTTTACATAGTCTTCTATATTTTAGTTTATGTTTATCAAGAATGTCAAACAAAATGCATACATCTGAACACTTTTCATGGCATTGGAAATAGTTGCAAAAAAATTGGCAAGGTCATTCAAATAAGGAGAAAAATATCATACAAAGTATTTATTATTTTTCTTGTGTTTCTCTCGCGCCACATATGCATCATGTATATTGTTGCATTGTGTTGTATATATGGAGTATTAGGGATGCTATAAGCATGTGGTTGCAAATGTGTAAAACAATTCATTTTAGAGCCTGTCAACATCGTTTTAATTTCCAACTTATTAGGCTTATCAGTAAACTTTGATTTCGCGTGCTGAATTGTTTAATAATAAGAAAATTTAAGGTTGAAGTTAATTTTATAACTGTATTGGCTGAAATTACTCTAGAAGATTATCTTATCTATTTCTTCACATAATTATTTATTTATTTTATTAATAAGATATACTCTATATTTTAAATATAATTTTTCTCATAAATTAGCAAAACCAATCAACCCCGTCACTCCAACCAAAACTTCACATATTTTAATAGTATCAGCTGATTCAGACGATTTAAGTATTATCAAAGGCTCTTAAATTGTCACACAATGACATTAATTTTCTTAACACTCAAGTTTGCGTTGGTTATATTAAATACGGTGTATTACTCCGTAATATCCATTTTTTTATTTAATTTAATGATTTTACAAGAGAACTCTCCCCCACCCCCTACCCCTAGTCGCACAACGACTGTACCCCGGCACGCAACGACTAGCGAGAGACAAAAAAAAGTCTCACATTTTCCTCTTATTTTGCTTTTACCCCATCAATTTCGAGACCATGAAGCATCAAGCATCTGCTCTATTACAACCCAGGTACATACTTCCCTCTCTTTCTATATATGGTATTCTATGAACACAGCAGTATTTGGTTACATGTCTGTTGCATCTATTATATTTTCTTGGTCTTGCTTTGTTATGCATTAGAAGTTCCAAGACGCCAAGAGTCAAGACCCATTTCATTGTCCCGCTTCTTTCGCGTCAATTCTTGAATATCCGCATATGAATATTTACTTTATAGTGCTCTTCAGATGTTTGCGTATATGTTTGTGCATAGCAATGGGTCCTTTTTTTGCTTGTGAAACACGACTGAGTCAGTGGTAACGGGAGTCTTTGGGGACTTTGGTTTTGGTGGGATCGCATTTGGAATTTTCTGTATGGCGATGGCTTAGGGGGTTTGTTAGATATATATGCATTATGTAATATACACTGTTCCAGTTTTTGTTGGTTCTGATTTTATTTTCTAGTGTCTCCAGACGAGGTTCTTGATTTGTGTTTTTGCATTGCTTTGCTAGGATTTATGTGAACGGGTCTCTCTGTGGAGTTTGTGGTGTTCTTTCTAGTTTGCTGTTTTTTTTTTGTTGGACAATGGATCTGCGGTGTTATAGTTCTGTTATAGGCTCAATAAATTACAACTCTTTTTCATTTTTATTTGTGTTTTTAGTTTTTAATTTCGGATAGTGCTGTTCTAAAATTTTCAAACTACGGTATATTTTTCGTTACTTAATACTTCGTATATTAGTCTTTCAGAACACACTAAGCCCTTGATATAAGACATTTTTTTTTGACGAATATCTGACGCAATAAAAAATTATAAATTATACTCTGAGTGATTAGGACAGTATGTTTTAACTACTAATTTTAATGCATTATTTTTGTATTTTTAAATATATGACTCCATGTGATGCTCATGAGCACCCTTTCAACCAAATAATAATAGGTAGTGTAAATGTTGAAGTTATAAAACCAACACAAGGAAGCTTATTATATTCATTTATATCTGCAAAATGTAACAAATACATTAGCATATCAGAGAGAGATAGTGTGCATATGTGTGCCTATATATATGTATCATAAGTGGCTGTATATAAGGCAACCTGGTTTCTTTTTTGCATTAAAAATAAACCACTAGACACTTCATATCTTTTAGGAAATGTAGAAGAAATCAATAAGAGCCTGTTGGGTGCCAAGTTAGTGCCTGAGTGCACAGCCTAAAAAATTTTACTGATCAGGAGCACTAGCTGTGCCATTTATGCATTTACCAAGCCTTCAAGTTGTTAAGAGTCCCTCAAAATGCACAAACTGTTGAAGCACTGATTGCTTGGTGCTCCTTGAGCATTCAAGTCTATTTCTGCATTGCATAGGTCCATGCCCTTAGAAATGTTATGAAGGTATAGGTCACAGTAAACACCTGGTTCAATTAATGACCCAATCAAGAAATTATATTGAGCAGAATATATTGTTGCCATTTATGTCTAACACCTTGTAAAAATTGGAGTACAAATCATTAAAACACTGCTTACTAGGTGTGTAGTTGAGGAAGCACTTAGTAAGATCGATTCTTATGTTTTTCCTTTACGTGAGGGTGCCTAGGTGACCACCTAAGCTGATTGTTTCAAGAGTATTTTTTATTTAATCTTGAATTTTCACAAATTGAATACTTAAAACCACAAGAGATTACATTGGGATTTTCTATGCATAAGTAAAATTTGGTACGAATGGACTTTTCAACACCTATAAGTTTGACTTGTTTTTAGATGGGCAAAGGGTAATTTTATTTATTTATTTATTGTGCTGCATTTACTTTTCAATCAATGGTAAATTTATTCCTGCTTAAGGACATTTATATTCACTTGTATAGTTTTCTGGGGATATTATGCCAGCTTTTAGTTTGTTTTTTTTTGTTATTTTCCTTCTTTTTTCAGCTTGTTCTAAAAACTGTGTCAGCATATGAATTTTTATGCTCCTTTTGTCCCACTTTGTGTGATACATATATTGATCACTACTCAAATCAGCTCCATTTTTTTTTTCTTATTTCAAGTTCAATTTTGCCTATAGTAGAGCATTTATTTTACAATAATTCATTTCTACTCACTAAAAGTAAATTGAGTATTACAGAAAGTTAAATGGAAATAGCCTCAATCAATTAAGGCATCTCACATAATCCTTTTCAGGATAGAGCAGGTATTTTTTATAAAAATGTACCAACATGCATTTTATTTGTTTTGAAAGAACTGAAGGAAATTTTTGCGTGTTCGACAAATTTTGGATATGGATGATTGTATAAATATGCTATAAATAGATAAAGTAGCATCTTTTTCATGATATGAATTATGAAATTAAGTAGGAAATATGACTAAAGAGACTATATTTGACATTGAAGCATCTTGGGTAAGAATTCTTTTGTGGACTCAGCTTCAGCATAACAGAGGATAAAAACAGTGGCATGTCTTTCAATCTTCAAGTGTTTATGATTTTTAACACATTTCTATAAATAAGTTTTACTAGCTCTCTTTCTCATAATCTCAAGAAAGTATTGTTTACCACCACTCTTGTACTAACTTCTTAGCTGTTCCCCGTTCACTTTCTTCTTATCTGCAATAACACACACATACATTTAACACAATACCTACTCATATTGTGGTATATCCCTCTTTTCTGTTTGCTCTGTTAGTCTGTTTAAGCATTTTACTTTTTTCCAACTTATTCTCCATCATTTGCAATGGAGCCAAAGACTCATTATTTTTTGGCTTGAGAATATGATGGAATAAAGCAAAATGGCTCACTAAACTGTCTGCGCTTCTTTGTTATGAAGCAACGGTCAGTCCATGCAATTTTCAATGCGATTTTCACCATGGGTCATCCGGAAACCGTCTCTTTGTGCTTTAGTACAGGGGTAAGACTGCGTACATCTGACCCCCCTTACTCCACCGTAGGTGGGAACCTTTACGGCATTGGGGTAATGGTGATGATGGTTCTCCAAGTCCTATTTTATCATTTTACTGCCCCTTTTTGAGTACTTTTTCAATTTCTTTAGAACTTGTACTTCATGCTTATATGCATAAAGGTTTGTCAATGTATATCTAAATGTCCTTCTATTAGTTGGTCTTCTGTTCTTTAGTTCCTCTTGTGTTTCTTTAAGCACCATTGTGGTACTCTGAATCATGAAATCTAGGCGGGTATCTATTTTAGGGGGATCACTTTGCAAATCTCCCGCAAGTTGATGGAATGAAGGATTACATGAAAGTTCAGAGTTAATTTAAAGGAGATACTCTAATGGGGTAGGTAGACAACAATAAACCAAAATGCAAAACGATATTCACTACAATTTTAGTTGTTTTTTAAAACTAAGTTTTATTTATATGTGTGAAACTAAGGAGATCTTATTGTAGCTCTAGCCTAGTATGCGACTCATGATGTACCTATCTAAGATTTTTTATCATTTTTAGTGTACACATTGCATCATGGTTACCATATTTATAATATTTTTTATAGCTACATACTACCTCCATCCCACCAACAAGTTCCCGGTTTGAACCACACACATATATATGCAATGCATTTTTTTTGCTTTGACTTTCCAAGCATACCCTTACTTTATGTCAAAGTGAGAAAAATTAAGCAAAAAGTAAGAGTTTGTGGCATTTTCCTATCTAAAAATTTCCGTGTGTATAAATGGAAACTTCTTTCTGGAATATCCTAACAAGGAAATGAGGAACATAGTTTTGGGACGAAGTAGTTTCTGCCTTGTTGGAAAAATTCTTTTCGGTACTACCAGCCACACCTTGAACCCCTTAATTTCAGCATCATGTCAGAGCTATAAACCTTTGAAACTCATACAGTCATACTACATATTTTTTGTTTTAATGTCATGACTCATGACCATTTGTTTAATCTTTTATCAAGCTTGTCTTGTCATCCTAGCTTTGGTATGTGAATTGTAGGTCAATATGCCCTCCTTCCACATGCCCATTCTTGCTTGGTTCTCCCTTAGTTTTCAGCATTGATCACCATCTATAATGATCTACTTGCCTCATCACTACTAGAACCATTGTTTTCCTCTCTTTTAGGCGGCCCTTGGCCCTATCTCTAACATTTGGAATTGAGCCACTGTCATACACACTCCACATGTCACAAATCTCCGACGGGCATTTGACCTATGACACCACCTTCAATGACCTTTTCTGTGACTTTTTTTAAGATATTACAGTCTTTTACTGCCCCACGAATGAGATGTGAAGGTTTCCCAACAACATTGACTTAAACATATGCCTCATACACCATCATCATTCAGATAAAACTTATTTTTCGACATAATTATATTTGTTTCTCTTGCCATGTTGTATCTCGAAGGTGTTTGCATATGACACTTATGTAAATACACTTACCCTTAAAATAAATACACTACTATATTTATCTCTCGAGACTATTTAGGGTTGCTATGTACGATTTATTTCTCAAAGGGATTCGGTTCTGCCTTTCTTATTCATTTTCAGGTGCTATTTAGTTATTAATAAGCCATTTTCCGAGTTTCGAGTAAAGGCTTTTGTAGATTGTGTTTGAATTTTTTTGCTTTACTTTTTTATTTATGAGATCATTTTTGGTATCATGTCTCTCCAAGCTAGGATAAATGAGGAGGGTGTTGTAATAGGCGCATGATGGTTAACAATATTACTTAGTCACATCATATGACCTGAATTGTAATATGAATATCGCTACGGCTAAGTCATCGCCCGTAAGCGATATGTCATCCCTCGGTGTGGGGGAGTCAAATATGCAAGGGCACGCGGCACTTCATGGACCTGTGTGTGGTGATAAGAATGCTAAGGTTTCTAAGTCATCCTCCTATTGCGCGGGGATGGTGTCAAATATGTGAAGGCATGGTTGGGGTCGAGGTGGTGTTAAGAATTGAAGGTGGTAGTGCTAGATTGCGCTTTGAGACATGGAATGCGGGGTCTCTTATGGGAAGATCATTTGAGGTAGTTGAGGCTATGAAGAAAAATACCAGCATTATGTGTGTGCCAAGGTTCGGTATTGTGTGTTGCGTAGTCGTTGGATTATTTATTATTGCATATTGCATACGCCTCGTTGCGCAATGAGGTGTACACTTGAGGCGTAAAATTTATGTATGCGTATATGTGTGTGTGTGTTTATAAACACAATTAATAACAAAGAGAAGTACTCATCAAAAGCCATCTCCATGTTTGTAAGACTTCACCTTTAATAACCATGCTCATTGTATATCATCTCCATGTTTCCACGCTAGGTCTACTATTTGATTAGGCATGATGATACCGGGCTAAAAAAACTACATATGGTGAAAAACAATGAGCGAATGATATATTAACAAAATAATAATATTAACCTCGTAGCTAATACATATATTAAGAATTTAAGATATTTTCATAATAATAAATAAATAAAAAATTATTAAGGCGCGATGGAGGATGGGAGAATAAAAGAGAGGTGGAGGTCATACTTTGATACTATCTTCAACGGGAATAAAGCGCAAGATATAAATGATCTTACTATATCAGATTGTATGGTAAATCGGGATTTTGTGAGAAAGATCTAAGCTATAGAAGTTAAACAGGCTCTGTGGTAAGGATGGAGTGGAAGAAAGCAGTTGGTCCAGATAGCATACTGATCGAGGTCGGGAGAAGTTTGGGAGAAAGAGACATCGAGTAGGTAACACGTTTCTTGAATAAGATTTGGAAAACAATAAAATGTCATCGAGTTGACGGAAAAGTGCTCTTATTACCCTACTTCAGAATAAGGAGGACATACAAGAACGATGTGCCAATTATTGAGGGATTAAGCTTATGAGTCATATCATGAAACTTTGAGTGCTAGTGATTGAGCAAAGGTTCTGAAGTCAATCAGAGTGCACCAAGAATCAGCTCTCAGTCATTTTCTATTTTCTATAGCTATGGATGAACTTATGAAGTCAATTAAAGAAGATATACCGTGGTGGAGGTAGCCAACGAGATAACAATATTGTATTGATTGATGGGACATAGTCGATTGTTAAAACAAAGTTGGAAGGATTGCGACCAACATTGGAGAATAAGAGTTTCAGACCGAGTTGAAGGAACATTGAGTATATGGAGTGAAAGTTTGGTGGAGGTAGCAACAATGGTAAAGTGGGATTACCCTAGATGATAAAAAGACATAAGTCAGTGATATATTCCATTACTTGGGTTCCATAATTCAGAAGGATGGTGAACTAGATGAAGATGTATCTCATAGAATCAAAACGTGGTGAATGAAATGGGAGAGTGCGTTAGAATTTTTATGTGATCAAGGTATGACGACTAGAATGATGGGTAAATTTTATCGGACGACAATTAAATCTGCATTACTATACGGAGTAGAGTTAGGTGGTGAAAAAATGTCACATTTAAAATATGAGTGCGGTAAAGATGTGAATGTTGCGTTGAATGTGTGGAAATATTAGAAATGACTGCTTGAGGAATGAGACAATCAGAAAAAAAGTGGGACTGTGGGAGTAATACCTATTGAACATAAGATGCGAGAGTGTCGATTGTGGTGGCTTGGTCATGTGTGCTTAGAAGACCGAGTGATGCACATGTTAGACGAGTTGAGAGGTGTGAGGATGAGGCGGAGATAAGAGGGAGAGACAAACTCAAATAGACGTGGATTATAGGAGTTAGGAGTGATATGCTTCTTCTTGGGTTGGATGAGAGTATGTTTTTGATAGTTCGTGTTAATGATTGATCTCTTTTCATTTTTTTTATCATTTTATATTTTTTTTCTTTCTTAAGTTCTTTATCCTTTTATCTTTTTTAGTTTATATTTATTCTTTTTAATCCTTTTTTATCTTACTTCCTCTGTTTCTTTTTAGTTAGCCATCTTTGACTTTTCCCGTCAAAGATGCTAGACTTTGATCAATAATATGTTTATATACGTAAGTATTTAGAATATGAAAAAGATATGAAAATGTTCTTTGTTAAAAATACTATCAAAAAGTATACAATTTATATTTTTCACTAAATTATAGATGTTAAAACTATTAACCAAAGTTTACTATAATTGTTCAGAAAAATGAGTGACGGCTAACTAAATAGAGGCGGAGGCAGTATTACTTTTTTAGCCGATTCCAATATCTTTTGGGACTAAGGCTCAGATGTTGTTGTTGTACTTTTGTTAATTATGACATACATATGCTCATACTTGAAAAGGCGTGTTAAAATGTAATTTCTCAACCCCCTTTTAAATGATACACATGGCATTCATTTTGTTAAACCTATTATTACTGTTGTTGTTCTTTGATCATTTTTCCTTGACAATTTTTTCAATTTCCAAACATCATTTTTGGTGTTTAATATAATATTTTATGTATTTCTAAAGGGTAGGTGTTTCTGTACTCCCCAATTATGAATTTGTAGAAATTTAGTTACTTGTTGTTAACTTTTTCCAAATTATCCATGTTTATGCTTTATACTTCTTGGTAGCAGTTTTAGTTCCTTATCTGTAGTGACTTTAGTCCCCTGCGGTTATCAGTGAATAACTAGAACTGTCACCAAAGGTTATGATCAAGGATGGCTTTTGCAACATTTAACAAAAAGCCACTAAAAATGTTACAACTGCCTAACTGAGGGACTAAGAAAGCAATTTAACCTTTTCAAATAAAGAAATTTTAAACACTAGGGTCGAAAATTTTAATAGGAAACATGAAAAGCATTCTCACCTAATGATGGCGCGAGAACCCGTTAAGGACTCTGCGAAAGCATGATAATGAACCAAAAATGTCTGGCTATTGTTACCTTAAAATATGCATTAGCTCATATCATTCACTTCCCTCTATTACAGCCAAAACTGTTAAGTGATACAAGACTTGTCACAATTAACACTTAACAGTCTGACATAATCTAGATATCATTCTTTTTTTGAAGTTAGGTGACTTTCAAATGTCCTTTTTATTTTTCATATATAAAATGTAAGTTTCTTGGCATGTCTACTCAAACTGGCTCGTAGTTTTTTGTTGTTGTAAAAACATAGATATGGAGAGTTGCTTCCCTACCCATCTATCTGGCTCTTGAGATCTTACAAATTGTGCTTATATAAAAAATCTTCACCTCTCTGTAAAACAAAGAGTAACTAAGTCTTTCTTGTGAATCCTACTCCCTCTCTAAATTCAACACCTTGAATGATCTGAACTCTTAGAACCTAGGTACAAACTTTCGACACACTTCTTGGCCGTCCTTGGCTCACCGCTGGCCAGTTCCTTCCAAAGCGTAACTTGATAACTTGTATATACGTGGCTGTTTTTAGTTCTTTGTATTTATTATTAGTATGCATGCCATCTTTGTACTACATGCTCATATATCTCTGATAAGGATGCATCCCTATCAATCTCTTAGGCACAACTTAGGTTGGGGGAGTATTGAAGTGGATCTGGTACTCTGGTTGTAATGGCATAAGTGAGTATCTGTTATTAGGTGATGGATTGTTCCAAGCTTGTTAAGAGTCCATCTTTTGCTCACAATTTTTATGTCTGGTTTTCCATCTTCATTTTGTTGTATTATTTCTCACTTGGATCTGTCTGTTTTAGAGGGAATCAGGAATTGTAGATTTTGTGATGCGCCCAAAGCTTCGAAGTACAATTACCGTCATCTTAGAAGTTATCAATTGGGGTAGGATGGCAGATTAACTTTCTGTTTTTAGGGAAGGGGTTAAGGTGGGAATGATTTATAAGCAATTGTTTCTTCCGGTGCATTTTTTATATATTTTGGTATAATGCAAATTCATTGGTCTAGTTTCTGGTCGATGCTCTTTATTTCCGAGTCTTTCCTTATCCAGAAATAATTGGCTTCAAGATTTACATTTTAATTCTTCTCTTGTCAAAGATGTGCAAAAAACATTTGAAGCGATTTTTCAATGTTTTAGCCTTTTTAAATTAATTTTTTACTTTATTAACATTTCTGGTATAGCTTAAAAGCAACAAAAATATCCGTTGTTTTATAATTACATTAATGTGTTTTAATTACGTTCTTATCTCTCTGTTATTGCGGATCTCAAGAAATAAATAGATGAAGGACCGACGAAAGAATTTCCGATACCATTTGCTGGAAACGTGAGAAGCATTCTCAAGAAGCGGTGGTACTCATGTATTTTCAGTAAGAACTCCTCAGACGGCTCTCTTTGACACATTAAAGAACAAAAAGAGCAGGCTGTTTCATCAGTTTAAGGTAAACTTTATTTCATGTATATCCCTTCTATTTCAGTCTCGGGATTCGAGGATGTAAGAATAATTGTGAAAAATGAACTTCTAATCTGGTATAGCTTTACAAGGCAGTCGATATGTTCTGCTCTCAGTTTTCCATTTATGGTTTCCATAATTTTCCAAAAATGCTTGTAATGTTTTCTTTGATTTCGGTTATACGGAGATTTGCTAACAGTCTAAGAACATAAATTCTTGTAGTCCCTTTGCATAGTAAGAAACTTAGCGTATCTAGTTCGCGTAAACTCACTTGCTTTATTAGCTTTGTGCATACAAAAGTATTATTGGTTCAATTAAATCTGAATGCAGGTTGCATTGACGACATGGCTGCGGGGAAGATACACGCTTCTGACTCCCGTAATGCTTGTGGTGTGTCTGGGGAGCCACTTATACTCCCTCGAGTGGGGGATGAGTATCAGGTTGACATTCCACCATATACACAAATTTGGACTGATGGTGACAACTCTTGGGATTCATATGTTGGATTGCATATACCTTTAAGGTGGGCAAACCAGGGAAGAAGGACAAACAAAAGAGTGGATATGTCCATTGATGAGAAACAGCCAAAAGGGGAATGCCCAGACTCCTGTTTAGTTCCAGATGGCGATGTTGATCCATTGACCAATATTGAGAAGAAAACTTTTCTCCTTGGTCTCTATATATTTGAGAAAAACTTTGCTCACTTGAAAAGGTTCCTTCAAACGAAAAGGACATGTGACATAATGTCATATTATTATGGGGAGTTTTATAGATCTGATGAGTACCGTAGATGGTCTGACGGTCGAAAAGTCAAAAGCCGGAAGTGTGTGTACGGGCAAAAACTGTTTATTGGATCAAGGCTGCAGGAACTGTTAACTCGCTTACTTCCCCACATGTCAGCAGATCGCCGAAATGAATTATCGGAGGTATTTTTTCATGCTAAAATAGTAAAATTTCTGTTGTAGGATAACTGGTGTTCTCTTTTGTGCGCTCACAAGCTTGTGTAGTACCATTGCTATCATTATATGTGAGCAGAAAGCCAAATTCCATGAATGGAACCTTTTAGTAAAGTAGCATGTGTCTGTGTGGCGTCCATGTCTGCTATGTCTGAAGTGTGATGGTTTTGTTTCCTGGGTTTAGAGCATGTTAATCTCACTAATTCCTTTGTCAGACTAAGCCTTTTAGCTAACTACTTCGTTTACTTACATATATAGTATTTTAGCCAATTGCCTTTTCTTCCTGCTAATTAGGCAAAAAAGGAATAAGTTGAATCAGCAATCAATACTATTATTCAGTAGGATTGATTGAAAAATGGAATATTTACTTCTAATGTTATTATAAATCTGTTTTTCCCCTTTTTGGTGTTCTTAAAAATAAAATGGCTTTTACGCATTCAATTCTTATTTTTTTATCCTTGCATCCATTGATACCTTGAATAGTAGTTTATCCAGTGAACATTAGGAGTAGATATGTACTAAAAGAGGAAGAATGGCATGGATTAAAGCACACTCAGTAAGTTTACATGTATTGAAGGCATTCACCTTCTAAAATTGTTGTCTTTAATATTGCAACGTTTTCTTTCGCTCCACTCTGGTATGAATTTGTTGAGTAGGACTCGTGAACCAAGAATGCAATTTACATCCAGGAGGCATCTAGGATATTTTTCTTTCCATCCCATTTTGCATTATGTGTTTAAAAATAAAATAGCTTGTAGCGCCTCATGGTTCTCCTTTGTCTTATTTCAGTTAGTGTTTGTTCCATTTTTACTAATCAATGCTTGCAAGAATACTTATGAGCTATATATCTCTTTTGGAAGCTGTTTCTGATATCTTGTCAATTTATAGCGCCTCATGGTTCTCCTTTGTCTTATTTCATTTAGTGCTTGTTCCATTTTGACTAATTAACCCTTGCAAGAATATTTCTTAGCTTTATCTCTCTTTTGGAAGCTGTTTCGGATATCTTGTCATTTTGTAGCGCCTCGTGGTTCTCCTTTGTCTTATTTCATTTAGTGCTTGTTCCATTTTGACTAATCAACGCTTGCAAGAATACTTCTTAGCTATATATCTCTTTTGGAAGCTGTTCCTGATATCTTGTCATTTTATAGATTTCCAGAAGATTTGGGGAGGGAAAAGTACGTTTGGAAGAATATGTCTTTACTTTGAAGTGTATGGTTGGGATAAACACTCTTATAGAAGCAGTTGGAATAGGCAAAGGAAAACAAGACCTCACAAATGTAGCCTTAGAACATACAAGGTCCAGTCATGCCTTAACCATGCGTTCGGAGGTACCTACTGGCAAAGCTTGCTCCTCTCTTACTCCCACTGAAATTATCAAATATCTCACTGGAGGTCAACGGCTGAGCAAAACACGGTCTAATGATTTGTTTTGGGAAGCTGTCTGGCCACGTTTACTGGCAAGAGGTTGGCATTCTGAGCAACCTAAAAATACAGCTTATGCTGCTAGCTCCAAGCAGGGTTTGGTTTTTCTTATGCCTGATGTTAAAAAGTTTTCTCGGAAATTCATCAAGGGGACCCACTATTTTGACTCTGTTACAGATGTTCTGGCCAAAGTTGCTTCTGAGCCTAAATTGCTTGAACTAGATTCTGAAGATCAAGATGGCAACGAGAACCAAGGAGGAAAAGTGCATGGTGTAGCAAAGGTGGACACTGATGATCTGTCTATAATAAGAAGCCACTCGTATCTTCAACCGAGAACTCCTAATCAATCTGATGATGACATGAAATTTACAGTCGTTGATACCAGCCTATGTAATTCTAAACCCTACAAAGTGAGGGATTTTAGAAGCTTGCCATTAGAAGTTTCAAAGAAACTGTGCCTTCAAAGTAATTTTGAAGATACTTCTAAGGACAATAATAAAGTGCCTACTGATCCTGATTCTATTAATACCATTTCCTTTGATCAAAGTGAGCCAATTCGTTCTGGATCCAATACAAGCTTACATAGTCGGGAAACATCTCCTGGCAGGATTGATTTTGAAATTGGCACTAAGAACCTAAAAATATCACATTTTAGAAGCCAAGAGGTCCATGGAAGCAATGCCTTGAATAATGAAGATCTTTCTGATGATGTCAAGTCAATAGAAGTGGTGGAAGTGAAGCCCTTTATCAGCCATAAAGTAAGAAAAGATTATGTAAACAATATAGTCCCTGTTTCCAAACGTTCTCGGCGACTATCTGCTTGTAATCGCACCGCGACAACAAATATAGGTTGTGTTTCTAGAGGGGAGGTGGCAATGTCCAGTTGCAGTTCAAGCATGAATACCATGCCTGCAAACAATGCATTGCAGATGGGATCCCTTCATGACAAAATTTCGACAACTATTTCATCAAAAAGTAGCCCTTCTATGAACATTGAACGTGTACCTGTTAATAGTTCTTGTTTTGCAGAAGTGTTTCCTGCTGGACATCGACCAAGGATCTTAATCGATCTTAATGTGCTCCCAGTCTCATCAGATTCCGAAAATGGACTCTCTGTAATAGATATCACTGAAGATCAAACTGATAGCCTGAATAAACCTGAAAGTCACTTTGAACAGAAGGTGTTAAGCAGCGTCAATACTTCTTCTGATCAGCAGCATCCTGGAAGGAGGCATAGCACTAGAACCCGTCCTCCAACTACAAGGGTACTGGAAGCTTTTGCCAATGGGTTCTTGACTGTAAACAAAAGGCAGAAGAATAAAGAAGTCATTGGCTCACAACAAGACCATGGAAAAACAAAGACTGGTGGGCTTGGCAATAACTCTCAAGTTTCCAAGATGGAAGAAGAAAAGGATCATGTTTGCAATAAGGAAAAAAATGATGTGTTCGGCAAATTCAAGCCTCCACCAAACGGAAATGGAGGAAGCATCACAGGCCTCTGAATTTGTGAACCGTGTTCTCTCCTGTTCAGCGATTAAAACTGGTTGCGGCTATATTGTAAGTGTTTCTTTCTACCCATCATACATTTATTTGTTATATCTGCTATTAGGGAGAGAATTTGGTTTGGGTACTTCATCAAATTGCAAGATATTACATCGGTTTTAGATAGTTGTCGAAATAGTTGTTGAAATAATACAGATGTTACATTTGCATTAAGATTACAAATTGCGAGACTTGGTGATTGATTGAGACATGATGTTCTGGGATGGTGTATTTTCTGTAGGTATGATTCTTATTTTTGTCAAGCTGCCCCTCTAATAAGGTGAAGACAAATGAATGAGCTAATTGTTGCTGTATAATCTTTGTTGATATCTTGTTGCTGGAAGTGAGCCCCAAGGATTCGTCTATTCTCAACCATCTTGTGCATTTTATCTTTTTTTTTTTTCTCTGTTGCTTTCCTTGTTGATAGTGTTAAGCAACTCACCTACAGCATATGAATGTGCGACATAGTTCAGTTCTGGAGATAGTGGATGTAAATATTACATCGGTTTTAGATATCCTCCATAGTTGTTTTTGTTTGTATTTCCATGACAGAGCGGAAATGTGTTGATTTTATAGAAATTAAATATAGCTATAGCAATTCAAATGTAGTTCTCCGAGACCCCATTCGTTAATGAAAATATGCACAATGGCTGGGAAAATACTTTGTGTACACTCCTAAACGGATTAGTTTTGAATTTTTGATCGGAGAAAAGAAACAATAAGAAAAGCCTTTTTTGAGTAAATCAACGTGTCCTATTAGTAGTGTTTAGAACTAGGGATGGACCCGGGTCAGTCTGGTTCCGGTTCTGGGCCGGGCCCGGGCGGGCTTTTTTTTCAAATTGTTGGGCCCGGAACCGGCCCGGGTTGATATCGGGTTCAGGCCTAACCGGGCCGGGCCGGACCCAGGTCAAGGTAATTTTTTTTGCTTTCTAATTAACCCCCGACCCCCCCCTCACCCCACCCCCCCAAACCCCCCCAAAACACCCAGCCCTAACCAAGGAAAAAAAAATCGAAAAAAAAAGAAAGCCCGGGCCCGGCCTGAACTGACCGGGCCGGTTCACCCAAAACAGGGCCCGAGTCCGGCCCGTCCAACCCTCCCCAACCGGGTAAAAGCCCGGGCCCGCACAGTGGCGGGCCAGGCCAGTTCCGGGTTGGGCCGAACCGGTTGGGTGACTTGGGTCCATCCTTATTTAGAACTGAATAGAAGAGATTATAAAAAAACCTAATAGAAGTGTGAGTGCAATCAAATTGAAATGTATGCATTCTTATTAGTCTTTGAGTTGTGATTTTCGGGCGATTTTGCGTAGACAATTGACTTATCCAAAATCGGCTTTCAAATTTGTCAACTCTTTGCATTTTAGTCCCTTGTATTAAATAGGCTTAGATAGGCCTCAATTATTTTAGCAATCCTATATTAATTTGTAGTTTATACACTTCGATCTTTACACTTATATACTTCGTAGTTCGTATTATGGAAAATAACTCATGGGGTGTGCAATCAACATCGTCTTTTACTTGCAAAACTACAACTTTAGCATTCTATTTTTGAGATACTTAGGAATGAAGATACCTAATCCTTATAACGCTTAGCATTTGTTTTACTTTTTTTTATCATTTGTTGTACATATATAGCATGCTTACCTCTTTGGCTCTTTATGAGGTTATATTCTATGTTGGAGATGCATAATCATACCTTATTTTTATCTTGAATCCCTATTTGTTAGTTCTAAGTGCATGTGTTTTAATATACATTTGATCAGGTTATCAACGTCAACATTATCATAGTCTTTCGTAAATCGTAATCCATATGTAAAAATTGGTTTTAATCATTCTCATAGATCTAACGGTTTTCCCAAGCTTAACTTACAAAATAAGACGGCAAACTCATAGAGCAATGACAATGATGTTATGTCTAAGTCCAAACATTATAACTTTGTGTCCCAAAGTTACATCATCACTTTGTGCTCCAAAGGCTCGGGCAAATAATAAATGAATTACTTAATCAAGTACGTGACTTGATTGTGGAATATAACAAATTATCATAACAATCATATTCTAATTATTCTAATTAGTATTTGGTCTAACATCATTGATGGGCATACGTAATTCAAGATTGGATTAATTGATGAGTATATTTAATCATGAGGACAATACAACAGTTGTATGTCATCATTGTAGTTTTCACGCACAATTCAACTCTTGCACTTGTAATTTCAAAATTGTGATTGTTTGACTCGTTTCTCATTTTAAATTAATAACATGTTGACTATATTTATATTTCGAGATACCCTAATGTATATGAGATAAAAAATGAATTTATTCCTAATTATCTTGATAATGTGAAATGCTTCAATACCATGAATAAGGAGAGGCAGAGGATCATATATGTATATATTTTCAAAAAATTCTTGTAATTTTTAATATTTATAAATATACATCCATAATTTTTAATATTTATAAATACACTCTCATAACTTTTAATATTTATAAATATGCTCATGTATTCGTATCCTACTTTTTTGGTTTTGTCGTATCCCCGCACCTGTTTCCACGTTTCCTCTTTTCAGTTACCTGTATCGGTGATACATAGCTTGTAATTCTTACCCTTTAGAGAATATGTACTTATAGGGGAGGGGGATATTTGTGAGGATTGGTAGTGTATCATGTTCGGCAAACCTAAACATTGTAATGCTATTAAGAAATTTGGGAGAATGTATCTCTCATAAAAAGTCGCTATCTGAGCTAAGATAAGTCTTTAACTTGGATCTATCATACTCTAGTACCCTACATGTAATCGTTGACCATTTCAACTTATATATGGTCGGATAAATAGCTCGAACAATATATTCACAATATGTCAATGAACGTTTTTCTTCATCTTGATTTTCTTTAAAAGCATCTTACCTCAATCATGCAATGTGTACATGAATATCATTCACACAGATTACACACATAAACAAACATATGTAAAGCATTTCAAATATATAGTTGAGTACAATGTACTTAACGTCAAAAGCCACATGAGGGGAGGCAAAATGAGCACGCAAGCTCCCAAATCATTTATAGTCAAATAGTATTTCCACGTGCACCATTTTATTTATATCAACATAGAATTGGAGGAAGCACAACCACAACTCATATCCACAGATATCCAGAGCAACTAACATGAAACAAACTCTAGTTTCAACCTGGAACTTGTGAGGTTCCCCTCGAAGAACGAGCGATGACGCTAGGGTTGACGTGCACACAACCTGTGCCACCTTTGGGTTCCAGGAAGAAAAAAAGGAGTAAGAGAAAAAAAAGAGTCTGACTTGAATGTCGAGATGGCATGCAACTGGGAGTTCCACCAATTATATTAGGGGCCTAGAGGGTCACCCGATCTATGGAGATTGAAGTACCATAGCAGTGGAGGTCGAAGTTAGGAAAGTGAGGCTGCAATGAAGCTAGAAAGCTTGACCAGATCCATATGAGGAAGATGGGAAATAAAAGAAAAGGAAAGAGGAAAACAAATGTCATGCGAACTGCCATGCGTGCAAGCAATCGGGAAACCAATTGTTCACCCACAAAATAACTCAATTGAGCGTTTTTATGAATTCAAGAGTTGAATTGTGCGTTTTAAAGTACAAATACCTATTTGACAATTTTATACGGTACATGTCGAGGATTTTTCATTATTATTTTCCTTCATTATTATATTATTATTTTTACTATAATTGTTATTATTACTATTATTATTGTTATGATTATTAGACGAAACTCCTAATAATAATTCTTAATTTCAGAAATTCTACAATAATAATCCTTACTCAGATTTGCATAAAATTGCACAAAGGGAAAAATAATTAAAATATCCCAAACTTTGAAGGGGTGTGAGGTAAGCACCCCAAACTTTCATATGTAATTTAAATACCCCAAACTTTATATAAAAAATTATTTTAGTGCCATGGTCATGTATTATTTCGTTCAAAAATGTTAATTTTTGGTGTTAATTTCATAATTTAAAATATTTTAGCATTCATGAAGATATAATTAACTTCTAAACTTCCATTGTAAAATAAATAGTATTACCCCCACTCTATATAATTGCAACGTTTTCAATTTGCTATTTTAAATTATGCCATTAACACCACAAACTTACATTTTTGAAAGATATCATACATGATCATTGTGTTAAAATAACTTTTCATATAAAGTTTGGGGCATTTAAATTACAGTTTGGGGTGTTCATCTCACACCCCTTCAAAGTTTGGGGTGTTTTTATTATTTTTCCCTTGTATAAATAATTCAAACTGACAATGGTGTCAACATGAGTAAATTGAGAGGAACTCAAACGAATGCCCGTTTAATACTCCTAGACTGTATCCCTAGGATTATTTTTCCCTTGTATAAATAATTCAAACTTGACACACCATTGTTGGTTCGGATTAATAACATAAATAATTACCGTAGAATTTATGAAAAATAAGGATTATTCAATTTAGTTCTACTATACTACCTAATTATTACTACCTTCGTCCCACTAACATTGAGACGGAATGAGGTGACACGGTTATTAAGAAAAGTGAGTTTATGTGGTTGATATTGAATTCATAAAGTAAGAATGATTAAGAGGCACAAAAACTTTACCAAATATGATATGAAACAATCTTAGTGAGATTTCTCGAATAGGTAAAATGTGACTGTTGGTAGAAAATGTGTTGAGTAGAAAATTCGGCAGCAATTCAGTACAGTAAAAGTGACTTATCCAATACAACAAGAGGGGCGGCCTATTTATAGGCGCTTACAAGAGGTTTCTTGAATACTAATGGGCTTGGCCCAATTAAACAACTAAAACAAGAAGCCTGATCCCAGGCCAATGGGCTGGTCGGGCCCAGAGTTAAACTAATCAATCCAAGGACCATATTATCTAGTCGGACCGTGTGCTGGGCCTGGTTCGCGCCCGAGCCCAGGCATATTGGGTCGATAGTATTGGACCTGGCCCATTATCCCAACACAAGTCCCCCACTCCCCTAGTCGAGTAGCAGACTCGGCTAGAAGGGAGTAGTCAAGTTGATCAACGATCGGTTCGTCTATCGGATCGGCTGGCTAGTCGCACCTCCATTGTAGCAGTCTGGGGTGCTCGTCAACGTAATCGTTGGCCCGTAGGGGGGCCATACTTTGCAGGCCTTGATCGGCCCCTTTGCTTTGCTCCCGACGGTATGCAACGTTTCCCATCAGCTTCAATAATTTGGGCCTGAAATTCCAAAATACGAGCCTTGTTTTTCTGTAGCCGTATATTGACCATGCGACGGATATACATGGGCTTTAGCCGCACACCCGACCAATAAAGAACCCCGCAGTCAGGGTTGGAATCTCGTCCAAGCCTTCGCGTTTTGTCACAGAAACCCCAGGCCAGCTTCCTAAAATAACCCGGAGCTATTCCAATTAATAATTTCCTTCCTTTTTTTCTTCTTTCCATATTCTTTTAGTTTCCTTGAATCCGAGTGTGGCCTAGCCTTAACACCCTCGATCATCCACGCGCAATTCAGCCATGCAGGTCCCCTCAGCTTCAGCCGTTCCAGCCGCAGCCACGGCATCGCCGCGTCGCTCCATCCCCAGTCGGCGAAGGAAACGCAGCGGCTCCCCTTCTCCGTCGCGCCGGAGGGAGGGTCATTCACGACGTTGTTCGCCG